CAGTGAGATCGTCCAGTGACTGTGAGATCATCCAGTGACAGTGAGATCGCCCAGTGACAGTGAGATCATCCAGTGACAGTGAGATCGTCCAGTGACAGTGAGATCGCCCAGTGACAGTGAGATCGCCCAGTGACTGTGAGATCGTCCAGTGACTGTGAGATCATCCAGTGACAGTGAGATCATCCATTAGTAGAAAAGTAATCCAGGCACTCCAAAATGTTCCAAAGCGTAGGCAATTTTATTGAACCCAAGAACTAAAATGCAACGTTTCGACCCCTTAGGGCCTGTATCAAGCTTGATAAAGGCCCTAAGTGGTCAAAACATTGCATTTTGGTTCTTGGGTCCAATAAAATTGCCTACGCTTTGGAACATTTTGGAATGCCTGGATTACTTTTCTACCAATATATGCTATATCTGGTCTCTTTGGTACTGGGACTGATCCAAGAGCACCCTAGGATTCCAAGGTGAAGGGCTGAGTGCAGTTCCACAACTTGTCTATGGATGGATGAGTGAGATCATCCAGTGACAGTGAGATTGTCCAGTGATAGTGAGATCATCCAGTGACAGTGAGATTGTCCAGTGATAGTGAGATCATCCAGTGACAGTGAGATTGTCCAGTGACAGTGAGATTGTCCAGTGACAGTGAGGTTATCCAGTGATAGAGAGATCGTCCAGTGACTGAGAGATCATCTAGTTACAGAGAGATCATCCAGTGACAGTGAGATCGTCCAGTGACAGTGAGATCATCCAGTGACAGTGGAATCATCCAGTGATAGAGAGATCGTCCAGTGACAGTGAGGTTATCCAGTGATAGAGAGATCATCCAGTGACTGAGAGATCGTCTAGTTACAGAGAGATCATCCAGTGACAGTGAGATCATCCAGTGACAGTGAGATCGTCCAGTGACAGTGAGGTTATCCAGTGATAGAGAGATCGTCCAGTGACTGAGAGATCGTCTAGTTACAGAGAGATCGTCCAGTGACAGTGAGATCATCCAGTGATAGAGAGATCGTTCAGTGACTGAGAGATCGTCTAGTTACAGAGAGATCATCCAGTGACAGTGAGATCGTCCAGTGACAGTGAGATCATCCAGTGACAGTGAGGTTATCCAGTGATAGAGAGATCATCCAGTGACAGTGAGGTTATCCAGTGATAGAGAGATCGTCCAGTGACTGAGAGATCGTCTAGTTACAGAGAGATCATCCAGTGACAGTGAGATTGTCCAGTGACAGTGAGGTTATCCAGTGATAGAGAGATCGTCCAGTGACTGAGAGATCATCTAGTTACAGAGAGATCATCCAGTGACAGTGAGATCGTCCAGTGACAGTGAGATCATCCAGTGACAGTGGAATCATCCAGTGATAGAGAGATCGTCCAGTGACAGTGAGGTTATCCAGTGATAGAGAGATCGTCCAGTGACAGAGAGATCGTCTAGTTACAGAGAGATCATCCAGTGACAGTGAGATCATCCAGTGACAGTGAGATCGTCCAGTGACAGTGAGGTTATCCAGTGATAGAGAGATCGTCCAGTGACTGAGAGATCGTCTAGTTACAGAGAGATCGTCCAGTGACAGTGAGATCATCCAGTGACAGTGAGATCATCCAGTGATAGAGAGATCGTCCAGTGACTGAGAGATCGTCTAGTTACAGAGAGATCATCCAGTGACAGTGAGATCGTCCAGTGTCAGTGAGATCATCCAGTGACAGTGAGGTTATCCAGTGATAGAGAGATCATCCAGTGACAGTGAGGTTATCCAGTGATAGAGAGATCGTCCAGTGACTGAGAGATCGTCTAGTTACAGAGAGAGATCATCCAGCGACAGCGACCAACCGCGACAGTGAGGTTATCCAGTGATGAGAGATCGGCCCCAGCGCACTACGAGATCGCCTAGGGCTACAAAGAGATCATCCAGTGACTGAGAGATCGTCTAGTTACAGAGAGATCATCCAGTGACAGTGAGATCGTCCAGTGTCAGTGAGATCATCCAGTGATAGAGAGATCGTCCAGTGACTGAGAGATCGTCTAGTTACAGAGAGATCATCCAGTGACAGTGAGATCGTCCAGTGACAGTGAGATCATCCAGTGACAGTGGAATCATCCAGTGATAGAGAGATCGTCCAGTGACAGTGAGGTTATCCAGTGATAGAGAGATCATCCAGTGACTGAGAGATCGTCTAGTTACAGAGAGATCATCCAGTGACAGTGAGATCATCCAGTGACAGTGAGATCGTCCAGTGACAGTGAGGTTATCCAGTGATAGAGAGATCGTCCAGTGACTGAGAGATCGTCTAGTTACAGAGAGATCGTCCAGTGACAGTGAGATCATCCAGTGATAGAGAGATCGTTCAGTGACTGAGAGATCGTCTAGTTACAGAGAGATCATCCAGTGACAGTGAGATCGTCCAGTGACAGTGAGATCATCCAGTGACAGTGAGGTTATCCAGTGATAGAGAGATCATCCAGTGACAGTGAGGTTATCCAGTGATAGAGAGATCGTCCAGTGACTGAGAGATCGTCTAGTTACAGAGAGATCATCCAGTGACAGTGAGATCATCCAGTGACAGTGAGGTTATCCAGTGATAGCGAGATCGTCCAGTGACTGAGAGATCGTCTAGTTACAGAGAGATCATCCAGTGACAGTGAGATCGTCCAGTGACAGTGAGATCGTCCAGTGACAGTGAGATCATCCAGTGACAGTGAGATCGTCCAGTGACAGTGAGGTTATCCAGTGATAGAGAGATCATCCAGTGACAGTGAGATCGTCCAGTGACTGTGAGATCGTCCAGTGACAGTGAGATCATCCAGTGACAGTGAGATCGTCCAGTGACAGTGAGATCATCCAGTGATAGAGAGATCGTCCAGTGACAGTGAGATCATCCAGTGACTGAGAGATCGTCCAGTGACAGTGAGATCATCCAGTGACAGTGAGATCATCCAGTGACAGTGGAATCGTCCAGTGACAGTGAGATCATCCAGTGACAGTGAGGTTATCCAGTGACAGTGGAATCGTCCAGTGACAGTGAGATCATCCAGTGACAGTGAGATCATCCAGTGACAGTGGAATCGTCCAGTGACAGTGAGATCATCCAGTGACAGTGAGGTTATCCAGTGACAGTGAGATCGTCCAGTGACAGTGAGATCATCCAGTGACAGTGAGATCATCCAGTGACAGTGGAATCATCCAGTGATAGAGAGATCGTCCTTTGACAGAGAGATTTTCCAATGACTAACAAATATCTGGAATGGAACCTACAGTATGATCACCCAATGGCTCGTCTACTATCCAGGAAAGATGGCTACAAAGTGACAGAGTGTCTCAGAGAAACCTGTATTGAGGGTTTGTGTGGAAGTCATGTTGACTTCATTCATATGATCCAGCACTCAGTTCAGACCCCATAAACAAACACTAGATACATACAAAAATAAAACTAAAATAAAACTACAGTTTAAAAAAAAAGTGTTGAAACAGTGAATGATTTGAATGATCTGTAGTAGGACTGTATGTCTTGTGCTATACATGTTGTGATTTACTGTCAGACTGTATGTCAGCATGTACATGTTTTGCATTACTGCTAGTCTGTATGCCGTGTATATTACTGCTGGGATGTACATCTTGTTGGGCTTTATGTGTTGGGATGAATGTGTTGTTAGAGAATACGTCTTTTGTTTTATTGCTGGATTGGACGTCTTGTTTGTTTGTACGTCTTGTTGAGTTCTATGTCTTGTTTGTTTGTACGTCTTGTTTGTCTGTACGTCTTGTTGGGTTGGACGTCTTGTTGGGTTGGACGTCTTGTTGGGTTGTATGTCTTGTTGGGTTGCATGTCTTGTTTGTCTGTACGTCTTGTTGGGTTGCACGTCTTGTTGGGTTGCACGTCTTGTTTGTCTGTATGTCTTGTTGGGTTGTACGTCTTGTTGGGTTGTACATCTTGGTGGGTTGTACGTCTTGTTTGTCTGTACGTCTTGTTTGTCTGTACGTCTTGTTGGGTTGTACGTCTTGTTGAGTTGTACATCTTGTTTGTCTGTACATTTTGTTGCTCAAATGGCACAGATTGTTTCTCCAGTCACCTAATAATTATAAAAAGTATATTAGAAATATGGAAACATTTCACATTTTCAGACCGCACTGTGTATGCTGCAAATAATGTTAAAGAAACCGCTGGCAAAATCAGTATGAGAAGTATGGTGAAGGTATTATCCCTTATATAATTTAATGGCATGAAATACACACAATAAATAAATTATTATATGAGTAAATGTATTAATTGTTCTAATTTAGCGAAATATGTTTTTTCACTGTGTCAATTATACCACTCTGGTAATAATGGAAATCAGCCTCTCCTTTTTCCAAAACACAGTGACAAAATATCCGGTGATTTTAGAGAAGAAAAACAGGATTACAGCCAAATGGCTGCTGACCCAACGGGATCCACGATGTGCTTTGTGCTAGGGTTTGCGTGTACGTTGACGTGGAGATGATTCAGAATGATTAGACAGAATGTAACTGTGGAGAGAATGGGTGGCAGCTCAGCTGGCAAAAATCAAGAAGAAATGACAGCCATCAGATAGCGAGCACTATCAACGTGTCACAGAGTTTGGCTGAACGCAGAGACTGGTGACCTCAGGAGGGCTGCTGTGAGTTCTGTGTCATCAACAGCACACGGTCACAGACGGATCAGACACAATAACAGGAAGCACCAGATGACATGCAGAATGGTCTCCTACAGGTCCGACCTCTGGCCTAGGACACGCTAGAAAGGAAGACGAGTTCCGTCACGCTTAGACTGGGTTTACCTAGCACATGGAGAAAGCACGCTCCTGCCAATAGCACAGATGAACTGCCAAGCCTGTTCATGGGTCCTCCGTAGGGCGGCTTGCCGGTCAAAACATGAACTTTATATGTTAATATAGGAAAATGGCTTAACCTGTTCAGTGCCAGTAGGCTGTACAACATAGTTACATGGGAAACAATCAATGAGAGTTTATTCACCAAATATGGAATTGAAACAATGAATATGGCTATTGCAGATGGTCTCAACTCTGCAATGTTTATCCAGCTTGGATATATTAACCATAAAGAAATTGCAGTTTACTTTGTCCTCAATTCCCTGTTTAGTAAATTAACTCCAACATTTGTCAAAAAATTTATGCGCGCAACGAGTGCATTGCCAACACTATGTAATAATTCAAATCCTAAATTATAATCTAGTCTGTAAGAACACAGCTCTTATTAATGTGACCATGTAATAGAAGATTAAATAATGGCAGATTGTAAAAATTATTGCATTATTTGTTAATCTGATAGTTTACGCAAATCCTGGCCATTTCCTTGTAAAGTGAAATAATAGTCTGCAATCCTGGACGAAGAGAGAATAAACACGTGGATGGGAACGTAACGTATGCAATTCTGTGAAAAGCTTACAATTCAGAAGAAACGGCATGTCCGATACAATTGTTTCTAAGTTTTGATTAAAAAAACTAAACTTGTTTGCACTAAATGCAATAAAAAACAGCTGCCTATTTATAACAAATACACGTTGTGGACCAAATGTTTCAGGGAAATGTTATGAAAATCCCCATTAAATTTATTAAAATTCCTTTTTTTTTGTCCAGTCCCAGTGATAAAATCACCCAACTTTCCAACCATCGTCAACAGGAAGTAGAGGAAACCAGGAGTCGGGGTCGAAATATCCAGGCCCGAGCATCGTTCTCCTACAGGAAACAGACTGCAAGTTACTTCTTCAGCACATACAATAACCCAACGGAAGCACACTTTTAGAAATACAAGGCAGGTCAAGGCTAGCTCCTTCAGAACAATGGGTGAATAATGCGGAGCAAGCGAGGACGTGAGTGTCGGCCTGGTATGATGTGCTGACATGGACGCAGTAGTCCGAAAGGCCCTTTGGTCACAGAAACAATGTAAAACACAAACAAGAGGCGTTTACAGCGATCAGATGGAAACAGCACGATAGTCACATAATTAATGGCTATTTCTACAAATTTACAGAGATCCAGCTAATTACCAACATTGTGTTTGTTACATGAGATAGACAGACAAACAGTCAGATGGGTGCAGTAATTTAAACACCAACACTCTAATATTATAAATAAAATGTTACGGGAACCACATTAATGTCCTGTAATTAATATGGCGCAGTATCATACGTCTTGTTCTTCTCTTTTCTTTTTGTCTTTTCCTATTTTATATCCACACTGCACAAATATGTTGTACTATAAGATAATAATAATAATAATACCATAAAAAAAAACACTGAAATGAAAGCAAAACGAAAAACCATTAAATAGAAAGTAAGGAATTAATGATAAAAAAAAAAATAATAATTATATGTGAGATGTATTTGTACATAATTTCCTATGTTCAGTGATCAGTAGTTCAAAATAAATCCGTATTTCACTTAATATTATTAATATTATTTTCGGCATTTATATAGTGCCAACTTATTCCTCTGCGATTTACAATACACTTCTGCAACATCAGAACTGAGCTATGTCGATTCCTTTTAATATTAAAGGGGAAAGTGCTCTGTTTTAGAATAGTCTATTTAGATAGAACGCTGACTTAATACTATATATCCACGGAATAGTAAATCAGTAATAATGTTTATACAGGGAGTGCAGAATTATTAGGCAAATGAGTATTTTGACCACATCATCCTCTTTATGCATGTTGTCTTACTCCAAGCTGTATAGGCTCGAAAGCCTACTACCAATTAAGCATATTAGGTGATGTGCATCTCTGTAATGAGAAGGGGTGTGGTCTAATGACATCAACACCCTATATCAGGTGTGCATAATTATTAGGCAACTTCCTTTCCTTTGGCAAAATGGGTCAAAAGAAGGACTTGACAGGCTCAGAAAAGTCAAAAATAGTGAGATATCTTGCAGAGGGATGCAGCACTCTTAAAATTGCAAAGCTTCTGAAGCGTGATCATCGAACAATCAAGCGTTTCATTCAAAATAGTCAACAGGGTCGCAAGAAGCGTGTGGAAAAACCAAGGCGCAAAATAACTGCCCATGAACTGAGAAAAGTCAAGCGTGCAGCTGCCACGATGCCACTTGCCACCAGTTTGGCCATATTTCAGAGCTGCAACATCACTGGAGTGCCCAAAAGCACAAGGTGTGCAATACTCAGAGACATGGCCAAGGTAAGAAAGGCTGAAAGACGACCACCACTGAACAAGACACACAAGCTGAAACGTCAAGACTGGGCCAAGAAATATCTCAAGACTGATTTTTCTAAGGTTTTATGGACTGATGAAATGAGAGTGAGTCTTGATGGGCCAGATGGATGGGCCCGTGGCTGGATTGGTAAAGGGCAGAGAGCTCCAGTCCGACTCAGACGCCAGCAAGGTGGAGGTGGAGTACTGGTTTGGGCTGGTATCATCAAAGATGAGCTTGTGGGGCCTTTTCGGGTTGAGGATGGAGTCAAGCTCAACTCCCAGTCCTACTGCCAGTTCCTGGAAGACACCTTCTTCAAGCAGTGGTACAGGAAAAAGTCTGCATCCTTCAAGAAAAACATGATTTTCATGCAGGACAATGCTCCATCACACGCGTCCAAGTACTCCACAGCGTGGCTGGCAAGAAAGGGTATAAAAGAAGAAAATCTAATGACATGGCCTCCTTGTTCACCTGATCTGAACCCCATTGAGAACCTGTGGTCCATCATCAAATGTGAGATTTACAAGGAGGGAAAACAGTACACCTCTCTGAACAGTGTCTGGGTGGCTGTGGTTGCTGCTGCACGCAATGTTGATGGTGAACAGATCAAAACATTGACAGAATCCATGGATGGCAGGCTTTTGAGTGTCCTTGCAAAGAAAGGTGGCTATATTGGTCACTGATTTGTTTTTGTTTTGTTTTTGAATGTCAGAAATGTATATTTGTGAATGTTGAGATGTTATATTGGTTTCACTGGTAATAATAAATAATTGAAATGGGTATATATTTGTTTTTTGTTAAGTTGCCTAATAATTATGCACAGTAATAGTCACCTGCACACACAGATATCCCCTAACATAGCTAAAACTAAAAACAAACTAAAAACTACTTCCAAAAATATTCAGCTGTGATATTAATGAGTTTTTTGGGTTCATTGAGAACATGGTTGTTGTTCAATAATAAAATTAATCCTCAAAAATACAACTTGCCTAATAATTCTGCACTCCCTGTAGATAAAATATGAGAAAAATAATAGAATTATTTTGTCTACCCGCTCCTCTTCAGCGGGGATTCCACCTATGGACATATGGGATAGTTGCATTAGTTATAAACGATAAGCATATTGAGGTATATCGGTTTAATTAACATAGCGAGCTAGCAACTGCCTTGAGAGATTTAAAAAGACACTCCAGACCTCTAAAGCGCTTTAGCTTTATGTGTGAAGAGTGTGTCCTCTTGAAATTGACATTTTTATAAATTAGCCTGGTTACACCTCCTTGATTGTCAAACAGTCACTGCTCCTGTTACTTCCTGGTTTGTTTAGCTCAGTGGAGATAAACTCAGGAGGCAGCAATTGCCCAGAGCACCTGCCTTGCAAATACTTCTTATTGATCTGCATTGGGATGTCTGTGATTGGACAGCCACAGAAAGTCTTAGAAGGGGTTAAAAGGGGAAGGCTTGTAAAGGCTGCAGACAAGAGATCTGTAGCTTTTGCAAGCTGTTTATAGATATGCCTTCAATTAATCAGATCTGTTAGCGGTACGGCCAACACAAAGAGGAAAGAGTCCTACTTACCACTAATTATTCTTTAACGAGGAGGAATATAATATACCGATATGCAAAGGGAAAAGTGCACAATAAAAAGCTGGCGAATAGCTATCACACAATACGCTGAACAATTGACAGACGTTCAAGCCAAGTTATTCAAAGTCACCGCATGCAAATAAACAAACAAACAAACAAAATGTCCCCAACAACAACCAAAATACTTCAAAGGCGTAGCTAGGCTAAACAATAATCAGCAATCGTCTTGTATTTTTATTACCTCCCTCCCCCCCCCTGCTCCTGCTTCACCAAATGTGTGAAAGTGGAGCCCCCAATCTAACAAGATCTCAGTCTCACACATGGCAGACAATTTATTTTATTATAATTACGCTTAGAGATAGGGAATTTGCCTCTGTGACATATTTATACATGGGAACACTTTATATACCACAGATAAGCTGCAGAGCTTTGCAAAAACCAAGTCGAGAATTTAAAAGGCCTGGCAGGTAACCACATCAGCTCCACACCCACAGCTGCCTGATAAGATCAGCACTGAGCACATCGTGACAAACAGGAGTCAAAATGACAAATAGCAACACACTGTACTTTCTGGCTACATTTTAACAGAAATGTTTTACATTGAGGTGCAGGTTTCAAACAATGAGGTTAAGACTTAGTTTTGGGCAGCGGGAGGGGGAACATAGGGGAACACCGGTGTAGATTAAATACTCTCTGAGCTTCCAAAAAAATGTAACGTGACGCTGAGCTGAATTTATTGAAATTTCAGAAAATTCCTGCTGTATCTACATAATTCTAAGCCCGCCCTTAATGCTGAGCCCAGTAAATTGATTGCTCTAGCCTAATAAGTGCAATAATGGCATGGGAATATAGGTTTTAGGCAATTGGGTACTATAGCGCATATATTCATTGTCTGCTTTGTACCTTCATCCCCGGCAACGCCCTGGGGAGATAGCGTAGCTAAGTGGACAAGGGCACATGTATGAGTGTGGGGATAGATGCGAGTGATTGGTTGTCTATGAATGTGTGGGTGGAATTATGTGGTGTGTGAGGTTTGTGGTGGTGGTCCTACCTCAGTGCCCCTTGGGATTCAGGCCAGCAAACAGCTTCCCTCCTGCTCGCCCCATTGGTATATTTAGTCGCAACTAGCCGGGGGTATGTCCTTACCAATTAAGTTTGAGGCAGTTATGTCAATATGTGGAATGAGGTGGTCAAGTTTAAGGTCTCAACTTCCCCTGCTCTAAAGGGTTAACCTTAGGTTACCTGTATGGGACGTGCCCACCGAGTGAGGAAAAGGTTGGCTGGTGGTAAGCATTGGAAGGAAAAGGAATTTATGCCGAAGGGGGAGGTGAGTGGATGTGGTCAGTATATTGGCAAGGATGGTTGGGTTACACTGTATGACACTACATGTTAACTTATTTGTTAAGTTCTGGTTATTTATGTTTGCCATTTGGTTTATATCAAGTAAAGTTAAAGATTAAAATATATTATGGGTGTGTTATACAGTATTTATCATATGTTATAATAAATGCTGTGGCCTGTTTCATCCATACTACGTTGTCTGTCATTATTTGGACGGTAATTGGGATAGTTCTCTGTTGGTATGCTGCACCACGATTCCCCACTACGTACGTACATGCATATATTATGCAGAAAATGAATTAAATTCGAAAAAAAATAAATAAAGAAAATATTGCAGCAAACATGCAGCTTCTAAACCGGCTGGCAACCAGCAGATATTTCTCAGCCGATCCTGGCCTTTATGTTCTTTGCATTGGAAGTGCTGTATACGGAGGTTTATTAGAAATGTCATTCACATCTTTCAAGTGACTACATTCACAAAACCTCTGGGCTTCCCTTACAGAATGGCTTCTTTTATATTTTTCCATGAATTACTTACTTTTTTGTGTGGTTGGGGTTGTAATAAAGAGACTGATAGAAATGTAAATGAAAGTCAGTACAAGTTACCGAGACCTTGCATAGACAGCGAGAAGCAGGGAGGGTGGGCTCACATGTACAATGTGTAATAAAAATAAATAAAATCAAAGTTTTACTTACCTTTTTCCAGAACTTACTCATTGAAGAGATCTGGCCTGATCCAGGGTGGTCCAATTCAAAAGTCATCATAGAGGAGGACATGATGCGCATGCACATCAAACAATGTGCGCCATCCAAGATTCCCCATGGGAAAGTATTGTATTCAATGCATTTATATGGGCGTCAGTGTCTCAAGGTGCATTTAACCCTGAAAAACCTCAATGGTTTACATTGCAGAGTTAATATTACATGACCACTGCAAGCAAGCCACATATTTCTGGGCAACTTTAGTGTCCCTTTAAATAACAGAATTAGTTCCCCCCCCCCCTTTATCCTCTTTCCATATTCATGTTGCTGTACTGAGTGCAGGGGATGTGATTATCAGGGTGACGGCCACTTCCCATTTCCCACCGCAAGTAGAATGCTAAAGATGTAATGGGGTCTTGTCCCCCGAGGGTATACTAAGTGAATCTACTTACAAGCCAAGCATGGTTTACATATATAGTGATTCCACTTACACGCCACGCATGGTTTACATATATAGTGATTCCACTTACACGCCACGTGTGGTTTATATACCTAATGAATCCACTTACATGCCATGTGTGGTTTACATATTAGGTGAATCCACTTACACGCCACGGGTGGATTACATATATCGTGATTCCACTTACACGCCATGTGTGGTTTACATATATAGTGATTCCACTTACATGCCATGTGTGGTTTATATACCTAATTAGTGATGTCCCGAACGGTTCGCCACGAACGGTTCGCCACGGACTCATCATTGAGTAAACTTTGTCCCTGTACCTCACACTCAGCAGACACATTCCAGCCAATCAGCAGCAGACCCTCCCTCCCAGACCCTCCCACCTCCTGGACAGCATCCATTTTACATTCATTGTGAAGCTGTATTCTTAGTGAGCTGTCCAGGAGGTGGGAGGGTCTGGGAGGGAGGGTCTGCTGCTGATTGGCTGGAATGTATCTGGTGACTGTGAGGTACAGGGTCAAAGTTTACTCAATGATAAGTCCGTGGCGAACCGTCCGTGGCGAACCGTTTGCGAACCGTTCGGCGAACTGTTCGGGACATCACTATACCTAGTGAATCCACTTACATGCCATGTGTGGTTTAATACTAGGTGAATCCACTTACACGCCACGCGTGGTTTACATATATAGTGATTCCACTTACATGCCATGTGTGGTTTACATACCTAATGAATCCACTTACATGCCATGCGTGGTTTACATATATAGTGATTCCACTTACATGCTTTGCGTTGTTTAAATATATAGTGATTCCACTTACAAGCCACGCGTGGTTTACATATATAGTGATTCCACTTACACGCCACATATGGTTTACATACCTAATGAATCCTCTTACATGCAATGCGTGGTTTACATACTAGGTGAATCCACTTACACGCCACACATGGTTTATATACATAGTGATTCCACTTACACGCTATGCGTGGTTTACATACTTAGTGAATCCACTTACATGCCACACGTGGTTATGGAAACTGCTTCATCCAGACCATTGCCATACGTTTCCCAGACAAAGTGCATCTGAATGCTAGGATCATAATGGCTGCTCGAAAGAGACTGGACAATCAGATATGTGGCAGCTATCCTCCAGGGTGTGGCCATGGGCCTGGCTAGTTGGGGAGCACCAGGAGGTTCCGATCTTCACTGATTCAAGCTGTGGCCTAGTTGAGATAAGAGTAACTCTTGTGATTGGCCAGGTCCTTCTTGCAGTCTGCATTGGTTTATTCTCCAATAAATCAAATGTTTCTCAGCTATAGTAATAATAATAATAATTCTCTATTATTTATTAAGCACCAGCAGGCTTTGTAATATCATCTTTATGATGCAACAAGGGCCTTCCCTGTTAGAATCAATGTATGGCCTACAAACACATCATTTAATGAAGGATATCTAACCATTTACCTTCCACAGGCTAGGCCTCTGTCATCCAACATGCTAAGAACGAATAGAAAATAGACATTCAACAATCCCGCTAGAAGGATATAAACTAAGAAAGAGATATGCCATTGTTCATCTCAAACTTTCAGTCGATGGAATGATTGGAATCACGAATGGTAAATGGAGAGCGAGGTCCAGAAAGAAGAAATGCTGAAAGGGTTAGCTGATGGTTGTAATATTCCCGGGATAAAAGTTCTTACTCCATGTGATCAGCAGCCAGGTGTCCACATGTTTTCCCAGCGCAGGGAGTAACGTTATCACGTCTGTATGGAGCAGCTTGCTTTCTATGTAATGGAAAGAACAAATGAATACACATCTTCTATTCCCTGAGGATGGCACACAAACACCACACTGGGGTAATCATTTCTACATAAATAAATATAGTGCCTATTTCTCTGGTTTGCTTTAAATCAGCTCTGAATTAACCATTTGGGGAGCTGATTATGGGTTGCATATTCTTTCCAGTTGAAATTCAGAGTAATAATTCAGGAAGACAATCTCATTGTTCCTGACAGGCAGGCTTCTGGGCAGTTCCCCAGTTTGTCCATTAAAGGGACACTTTGGTCACCAAAACAACTTTAGCTTAATGAAGCAGTTTTGGTGTGACCAGGGCTGCATAAACAGAAACTAAAGTGATTTAACTCCTAAATGGCAGATACTTGATCGGTGGGACTGCAAGGGCACAATCTATACACCAAAACTGCTTCATTAAGCTAAAGTTGCTTTGGTGCCTACTGTGTCCCTTTAACCACTCCAGATTAACTGGTAGACCAGAAATATTAATTGATTGATCTAGACTAAAAAGGTTGCTACATATTAAATAGAGATGCCCAAAAATACTGGTAAATTTTTGTCCACGGGGGCCAGTTCAGACAGCTCTAATACATTTTTAATATGTCCATAAAAGGCAGGACCCATTCATTCTAAAGATACTGTAGCTCTATGTAGGATTGCGATGCATAGGGTGAACTAATTGCTCAAAATCCTTAAAAATAAATGAATTACAATTGTGAAAATTATTGTCGTAAATTCTGGGACTTGTGATATTTTCTCACCACTTTCATTAGTTTGGGAAATTTTGAAAGTAACAGAGTTACTAGGTGGGCTTCAGACCTAAATGGATAATAAGGACGAAATTCCACCAGGTGAGGTAGCTTAGAGAGCAGATACTTCATTAGGTGGACTTCAGACTTCCATGGACAATAAGCAAGGACATGCATTGGACAAAATAGCTTTCAGAAATTATTGAATTCAAATGTATTATATGATTTCTGTGAGGACACAATAACAACATTTAAATGTTCCCGGAGCTGGGTGAAGCGTTTTCCACAATATTCATCATTATATGATGGGATAAACTCAAACCAATCTGAAGTAACAGTAAACATAACGTTTATAATATTTATGGCATGTTCCTTTTAGGCCAGTCCTCAGATCTCCACAAGTTAAACTGTAGTGACAAGACTCCGGTTTCTTTCAGCTTAAAGCAAGTCATATTGTAGGAGTTAATTTCTTTCCTGCAAGACATTTTTTGAGATCTGTTTTGTTCAACTTCAATCATCAACCAACTTATAGAACGCCCTCCTTCTCCCCCAGTTTCCATCCAGCTGCAGTCCGAGTCCCCTGAATAATTTATCAATATTTAACGTTTCCAAGTTCTGCCATACTTTTCCCTGAACCAATAACCTTTTATAAATGACAGACTTCAGGGAATCCATTCCAGAAAAGGTCCAAAGGCACAATGAGAGTCATTTATAAAGAGAAATTATGGGACCACATTCTAAAAGGCAGAGCAGTTACCATAGAAACCATTGGAATGTAGAACCTTATCCCAGAATTCATACAGAACCCCTACATACATTTATGTGTCGCATTATTTCTCTTATTTTTCCTGTCTCTACAAAGTATATCTATTCAGAGAACTGTGTACACCATATACTATTGGTGGCCATGCAGGTATAACTGTGTTGCAACATATCGTATATTCAGGTCTGTAGTAGCCACCATCAAACCATCTACAGAGCCTTTTATTTACACAAAGATTAAAACGAGAGCGAGATTTCACTTATTGTTCGTTTGGCCCAATAAACAAAAATATTATGGAGAATTAATCTGCATCAATTTTTATAACATTTAGTTTAAAATACACAGCATTAGCGTTTATTTTATCAGAAGTTCCTTCTAAGAAACAGTTCTACAACTTTATACCAAGCTTGGATTTTTCATTTTATGAACTTCTGAGTAACAGCTCAGTGGAGTGCTTCCCCTTTCTCATTGGCTTGTTTTAACAATACATATTTTTTTTTTTTTTTTACTGGTTTCTGTTTCAACTAAAATAGATTTTTAAATACAGTATGCATTCACGTTTTCTCGCACCTGTTTTTTTGTTTGGCAACCGCAGTTGATGCACTTCAAACACCCATACTTGGGCTGGACGGTTATTAGAAAAACAAGAATTTAACTTGAAAAAATAAAAACTTCAAATTCTCAGCCAACTTACTTTACCTTTTTGACTCCAATTCTTGTGATGAGTAAATACTAGCTTTCTGTGTAAGGCCTCAGATGAATTTACTGGTTGCTTACCGATAGTTAAAATGCAGATCAAACAATTCTGTGAGTGAAAATATTATCGACTCTGGAAATTCATATTTTATTTATCATGAAAGACTCTGTTTGCCAGCAGCTCCGTGCTCAGTTTCACCCATTGTTTCAACTCATCATGTGCTGTTACATAATTATCTGTTCTAGAGAACTGAACACTTGCTGAGAACATTAGAAATTATACAATAGTTGAAGGTTCTCCTGGTCAAATCTACAGTCCAAAAAAATTCAGGTGAAAACACAAGCCCCTCATTGAGTTTTATAGATACACAGCCCAGTTTATGGATCAGAAAGCACTGAGGTTTTAAACCCAGAGACATCACGAAGAGTGTTACAGGTATATGAAAAATGTTACAGAACCTCAATGTACAACTACAAGACAGGATGGACATGTCTTGGTTATTAAAGGTTCAATGGAGAGTGCAGATTTCTACGGGATGGAGGAGGAAGGAACTAGATTGAACAGGCCACCAATAGTATATAGTGTACACAATTAGGTCAGGTATATGCTAGATGGAAAGGCATGGGTTAGATGGAGCCGGTATGTACTAGATGGGAGGACATGAGCTAGATGGAGCAGGTATGTGCTGGATGAAAACGATATGTGCTAGGTAGAGCAGGTGTGTGCTAGATGGAGCAGGTTAGTGCTAGATGGAGCAGGTATGTACAAAATTGAGTAGGTATGTACTAGATGGAGCAGGTATGTACTAGATGTAGCAGGTATGTGCTAGATGGAGCAGGTATGTACAATATGGAGCAGGTAAGTATTAGATGGAGCAGGTATGTACTTGATGGAACAGGTATGTACTTGATGGAGCAGGTATATTTAGAAATATTTAGCAGGTAAGTATTACATTGAGCAGGCATGTACTTGATGGAGCAGGGATGTACTGGATGGAGCAGGTATGTACTTGATAGAGCAGGTATGTACTAGATGGAACAGGTCCTTCATGTTCTACTCATGTTTGTCAGGTAAGAGTTTCTTTGCACAGAAAACAAACTGGAGAACCTTATTCCACTTTAGAGACAATACACAATACATTGATATTTATTGTCTCTGATAAGGAATCCCTTTTGCTACAACGTATTTAGTACAAGAGGAATCAGGAGAATTAAACAGTAATTCAGAGTTTAGGGTATAAAATACAATGAGGTATAGATTCAGCAGGTAGGTAGCAGAATCGGTAATCCAAAGTCAGGAGTCTGGTACACGGGTAAACAGTTGGCCAGGTACAAAATCAGACAACAAGTAGTAAGTAAGAGGTCCAATATTTAGGACAACACTCTGCATGGGACATTATCAGAAGACAAGTAGTAAAATCAACAACCCAAAGTAAGAGGTCCATTAATTAGATCAACACTCTGCATGGGACACTATCAGAAGACAAGTAGTAAAATCAACAACCCAAAGTAAGAGGTCCACTAATTAGATCAACACTCTGCATGGGACACTATCAGAAGACAAGTAGTAAAATCAACAACCCAAAGTAAGAGGTCCAGTAATTAGGACAACACTCTGCATGGAACACTATCAGAAGACAAGTAGTAAAATCCATAACCCAAAGTAAGAGGTCCAATATTTAGGACAACACTCTGCATGGAACATAATCAGAAGACAAGTAGTAAAATCAACAACCCAAAGTAAGAGGTCCAATATTTAGGACAACACTCTGCATGGAACATAATCAGAAGACAAGTAGTAAAATCAACAACCCAAAGTAAGAGGTCCATTAATTAGATCAACACTCTGCATGGAACATTATCAGAAGACAAGTAGTAAAATCAACAACCCAAAGTAAGAGGTCCAGTAATTAGATCAACACTCTGCATGGGACACTATCAGAAGACAAGTAGTAAAATCCATAACCCAAAGTAAGAGGTCCAGTATTTAGGACACCACTCTGCATGGAACACTATCAGAAGACAAGTAGTAAAGTCCATAACCCAAAGTAAGAGGTCCAGTAATTAGATCAACACTCTGCATGGGACACTATTAGAAGACAAGTAGTAAAATCCATAACCCAAAGTAAGAGGTCCAGTATTTAGGACACCACTCTGCATTGAACACTATCAGAAGACAAGTAGTAAAGTCCATAACCCAAAGTAAGAGGTCCAATAATTAGGACAACACTCTGCATTGAACACTATCAGAAGACAAGTAGTAAAGTCCATAACCCAAAGTAAGAGGTCCAATAATTAGGACAACACTCTGCATTGAACACTATCAGAAGACAAGTAAATTCCATAACCCAAATTAAGAGGTCTCGAAACAGTCAGCATGGAACAAACCAGCAGGTAAATGGCAGAAACAGAACCTGTTAAGGGTAGGGCAAGATTAAATATTTTGAAATTACATTACACAGGCGACGCACAAAGCTGTAAATATTCAGAGGGCTTACGAGAGCGACCCATTGTCAATGAGATCTAATCCCGACATTGCCACCATTAGCAGAGCATACATGTTCCTTTACTTTTTAGAGTAATTTGGAACTGGACAAAAACATGTCCAGGACAGATTTTACACAAATGCTTCCCAGTGGGTCAATGAGTAAAAACAAGCAAGAAATCTTCTAGTGGTTCGTCACCAACTGATCTATTACCGCGATTTCTAGACGTGTTTTATTTGACTGAAAACCTAGTTTCTGATAAGGTATCTAGTGGATGGAGCAGACATCTATTAAATCTGTTAGACACCGAGTCTTATTTTGATGGCATCGGCCTGGTGAGCCGTTATATAATTCCAAACTGAGCTCAGGGGCTCATTCTTTAAACATCACAGAATATGGATTCAATGAATTATATGAAATCCCTCTGTTAGACTGCTCCCAATAGAGACAATCACTGGGGAAGAGAGGGCAGCGACAGAACACAAGGTATTAAGGGCAGGAACCAAGGGCTTTGCTAAATATTCATTTTATTTCAAAAACAGACTTTGCTGTTACCCTGGTAATGTTTAATTGTTCCCTGTTATATCTGCAGGATGTTTAAACACATCATTTAAACCGCATTGAATTTGCAATGTATTAGGATGTTAAAATACAGAGTAGAACATTGTGTGACCTTGTGGTTTGCCTGCTGCAATAGGAGATGCTGGGCTGTGTGTCATGTGTGTGGTCAGCACTGTATTGGAAAGTAGTGTCCTTCCTGTGAGCATGACCTGCACCTCACTGAACATGTAAAGAGGCAGCGTGTGTCACCAGCACAGAGAAGGTGTCAAATAAAAAGACAATGGCAGGAAGTAACGTACCTCAATCAGCGATGGATAAACCAACTCTGTTGGTCATTTTAATGCATTCCGCTGTATGATCAAAGCTCTTTAGCATTTTATTTTAAATACATTTTTTCATTTCTGTTTTGGTTACTACTCTCAGCTCGTTTCTTGTATTGTTTCTGTACTTAGTGTCTTCATTTCAGTTTCCATGTGTCCTCTGTCACTGGAGAAACCAAGAGCAATGTATAAATTGCCTATCATTAATCGTTAATCTGCACTACATCTGCAGCTATTGCAAACCAAGACTACATGTAAAGAAAACATACCGCAAATCACACGCAGGTTTTATGCAGGGTATATCTACCAAACTGATAAATATTTTTAGTTCCTTTTAAGATTTTGGCACAGCTAGAGCACACAAGGCAAAAGCAGAAACGAGACTCATTGTTTAATTTCTCCTCCTCTCTGTCTGCTTTCTCTATACTGACTGCCAGGTGTAAAGGGCGGAGCTTATAACAATGATTGACAGGGAGCTAAGATGGAGGTGGCTCTCTCTATACTGACTGCCAGGTGTAAAAGGCGGAGCTTATAACAATGACTGACAGGGAGCTAAGATGGAGGCGGCTCTCTCTATACTGACTGCCAGGTGTAATGGGCGGAGCTTATAACAATGATTGACAGGGAGCTAAGATGGAGGGGGCTCTCTCTATACTGACTGCCAGGTGTAAAGGGCGGAGCTTATAACAATGATTGACAGGGAGCTAAGATGGAGGTGGCTCTCTCTATGCTGACTGCCAGGTGTAAAGGGCGAAGCTTATAACAATGACTGACAGGGAGCTAAGATGGAGGTGGCTCTCTATACTGACTGCCAGGTGTAAAGGGCGGAGCTTATAACAATGATTGACAGGGAGCTAAGATGGAGGCGGCTCTCCCTATACTGACTGCCAGGTGTAAAGGGCGGAGCTTATAACAATGATTGACAGGGAGCTAAGATGGAGGGGTGGCTCTCTCTATACTGACTGCCAGGTGTAAAGGGCGGAGCTTATAACAATGATTGACAGGGAGCTAAGATGGAGGTGGCTCTCTCTATACTGACTGCCAGGTGTAAAGGGCGGAGCTTATAACAATGATTGACAGGGAGCTAAGATGGAGGCGGCTCTCTCTATGCTGACTGCCAGGTGTAAAAGGCGCAGCTTATAACAATGATTGACAGGGAGCTAAGATGGAGGCGGCTCTCTCTATGCTGACTGCCAGGTGTAAAGGGCAGAGCTTATAACAATGATTGACAGGGAGCTAAGATGGAGGCGGCTCTCTCTATACTGACTGCCAGGTGTAAAGGGCAGAGCTTATAACAATGATTGACAGGGAGCTAAGATGGAGGTGGCTCTCTCTATACTGACTGCCAGGTATAAAGGGCGGAGCTTATAACAATGATTGACAGGGAGCTAAGATGGAGGTGGCTCTCTCTATACTGACTGCCAGGTATAAAGGGCGGAGCTTATAACAATGATTGACAGGGAGCTAAGATGGAGGTGGCTCTCTCTATACTGACTGCCAGGTGTAAAGGGCTGAGCTTATAACAATGATTGACAGGGAGCTAAGATGGAGGTGGCTCTCTCTATACTGACTGCCAGGTGTAAAGGGCAGAGCTTATAACAATGATTGACAGGGAGCTAAGATGGTGGCGGCTCTCTCTATACTGACTGCCAGGTATAATGGGCGGAGCTTATAACAATGATTGACAGGGAGCTAAGATGGAGGCGGCTCTCTCTATACTGACTGCCAGGTGTAAAGGGCTGAGCTTATGACAATGATTGACAGGCTGCTAAGATGGAGGCGACCAGGTACAGAATGAAGAGGGTTGGTGTGAAGAAAATAGCCTATTATTTGAGACTTTTATTGCCATTCGAGACTTTTGATATTTTATATTTTACCACTCCCGGGCTCATTATCTTCAAAGAAAACTGTCGATTAAGCATTCTCCCTGTGTGGTCCATCTTGTTTGCATGAAAGGAGGCAGCGGGACTTGGTCGTAGAGTGTCTGAAACTAAAATCGGACAATCGACTTCCCAACTGTCGGGAATCAAACCTGGAAACTTGGCGGTCCTGGGTCTACTTTCTACCATTGAGCCACAGCAGCTTTGTTTATCTTTAAGCCATTCCGGTCCTGTTCTTCCTGGCTTGTCTACAGCACTGGGGGCTGTACCTTGACTACTGCTGTGCTTCACCTGACTCTGATCAGACATCAGCAGGGTATATAGACTCAGCCTCGCCCTGTGATCTGGATAAAGTCTTTGATCCTGTTGTGTGTGTGTTCCGTACCAGTGTTCCTGTCTATTGATTCTCTGCTTCATATTGACCCCGGCTCCTGGCATCGTTTACTCTGACCTCTGGCATTCCTTGACTTCGGCTATTCCTCGTGGTTCCTGTCCCCTGGCATCCTTTGACCTCATCTATCCCTTGACTATCCTGCTCTTGAGTCCTTGCCTGTACTGCATTTTGGAACTTCATCCTGCACAGCCCCCGTGCACAGATCCACAGGCCAGGTGAATTCTTACCTGACCACCTTGGCCTGTGGCTATTTGCAAGGGTGAGCATCATATCTGCGATACAGACTCCTAACTCAGGTAAAACTCTGACACCAGCCACCGGTCAAACCATACGAACGCCTGCTTCCTGTTCCTGAACAGCCAGGAGAGCTCTGTTCGGTAGTTTGGTTCCCACGAACCAGCGGAACAATGCTCCTATGAGCCAGGGGGCTCCATTCGTGCATTTGTTCGTTTTCATTACTTTTTCGAAATAGACCAACCACACAGCCTAAATTCATGGAACTGTTTTGGGCAGGAGTCTCGTGTGCGGTCGGTCAAATGGGACTTCCATAAAATTAGAAAACCCCTGAACTGATCTGGGTGATATTTGGATATGTTGGTCACCCAGATCAGGGCTATCAGGGGATGTGACTTTTCTGGGGATACTATGTGTTTTAGGGTACTTCCACGTTTTGGGGAAAATATGTTTTTACTGCCTGGAGATAATTGAGTTACCAGGTTAGCTGACTCAATTATTTCACAGTTAGAGAGGAGTGGATTGTCTGTATGCATTGGGAGTGTTCATCTTTGCCACTGTAATATTATTGGCTATAATCTTTGTGTCCCTGTCCCCAACAAGGTCCATGTGGGAGTGTCCCTGGCATGGGGACTTGCATAAAAGATAGTGCGGCACCATTAGAATTAATTCCTGTTGCACCGTTCATGAAGTCTAGGCTCATGTTTGGGTAACTACTTGCTGGGGAGAAACTACTTGGAAGCTGCATTCGTCTGAAACTATTCGTATCTACACCCGTAGCTATAATCACTTAGGCTCAGCAGTTGGGGAGGAGTAGGCGAACAAGTTATATGCTATACCAGCGTTCGTAACAGGTGGATTTAATTTTATTTTCCCCACCTCACAATTACATATTTGTTAAATTTAGGAGGGAAGTAGACATGTTAAAAATCCTGGAAAGTGACAGCTCTAGTTTAAAGCTACAATGTACAATGGCAGTGAAGGTGTCAGTTATGGGAGCAGTTGACATGCACAATGTCAAGAGATACAAAGTGTTCGTCCTCTGTCCACTCCTTGGAGATATTAACTGTCCAGGTGGCAGTGTCACATTGTCATCGGCAGTTTAAGAGCTCCCTGGTATTCTGCAGCTCTGTCAGCAGTTTGGCAGAATTAACCTTTATTGACAAGGTCACAACCTCTGCCGTTTATGGCCCCTCTAGGGAGGGTTGAGGTTTGTAATGTAACACTTAGAATAACACACAGGAGACACAGTAAATGTCACGGGGAGCCAGAATCCACTCCGAAAAAGCTACTAGTCTTCACTCCATAGACAGACAAACAATAAAACATCATTAAACTGCGTTCTACCCTAAATCAAGGTAAATAAACTTTTTGTTATACAATTAAATGGCTTCTACTAAGGTCCCTCTGGAGGGATAATACCTGCAAAATAATTTTTATTGATATTAATTACTGAAAGTAAACATTTTTTTTAAGTTCGGGAATGCTACTTAATATATATATCTTAATATAGTTGTTTATTTCGGCTAACAGCAAGACATCACATATTTGTTTTACACAACGGTTACATGTTAATTTTTGTGTCCAATTCTGTCAATTTTTAAATATAGATTTTGCAACTCACATGGCAGCTCATTATTATAATTATTTTATTATTTATATAGCACTAGCAAATTCCGTAGCGCTGTACAATGGGTGGACTAACAGACACGTAATTGTAACCAGACAAATGGACACACAGGAACAGAGGGGTTGAGGGCCCTGGTCAATGAGCTTACATGGCAGAGGGAGTGGGGTACAGTGACACAAAGGGTATAAGTAGAGGTAATGAAATAGGTTGCTAGAAAAGTATTCACAGGGAACTTAGTAAGTTATTTTTTAACAGTTTCAGGAGGGGAGTCATGGGGTGGGGGATGAAAACCCTCTAACAGTTTAAATTGTATGCTTTCCTGAAGAAGTTTGTTTTCAAAGATTTTTTTGAAGTAGTGGAGACTGGGTGAAAGTCTAACAAGGAAGGGAAGGGAGTTCCACAGAAAAGGTGCAGCCCTGGAGAAGTCTTGGAGGCGAGCATCAGATGTGGGAGTACGGACAGAGGATAGATGTAGGTCTTCGACAGAGCGCAGGGGCCTCGACGGGGCTCATTTACAATCCTGGCGCTACTTAGTAGTGGGCGTTTACTGACTGCAAACAGGGCCGTCTTTAATATCAATTGGACCCTCGGCAAGCATTTTCTTGGGCCTACTGGATCCTGCCCCCGTTCCCCGGCATGCATTCACACCCACCAGAACAACACAGTGGCGGAAGTAAAGTAGAGATGGCCCTGGTGCAAGAATTGTTTTGGGCCCTCCTATTGCAAGGGTGGCCAAAAGGTAGATTCCTCATCTGTCGTGCAACTCCAACAACGCTTTCACTGCTGAGGCTCTACCATTTTCCCATGCTTGCAGGGTTGTATTGAGCACCGAGCAGTGTTTGTGTGTTTGAATGTAAGCAGGTTTTTGTAGGGAGTATATTTGTGTAAATGTAGGGGTGTGTTTGTATGTGGTGTTGGCGTTTGAATGCAGGGGTGTGCATTTATATAAAATTTTGGTGATTAAGAGATGTGTTTGTACGTACTGTTGACGTTTCTATGCAGGAGTGTGTTTGGGCCCCCCAGGAGCCTGTGTTAAAGACGGCCCTGGCTGCAAAATTTCACCAGTAGGGACAGGAAGTTACCAGCTAGCTGCTACTTAAAGCCTGACGCTAGTTAGCAGCCATTATTCTCCATTTAAGACTGATTTCCAATCCAGCCGTTACTTGTTACCAACTAACATTGAAAACATAACCTCTGTCCTAGTGCAAAAAAGGTAACAACAGTTAAATCTCCTTATATCCTCTAGGAAAAAAATACTTGTTAGCTATATAACGTTAAATGGAAACCCTAAAGCACATATCAGAACATATTAAAGACTTTGATAATGTGCGATAGATGTTAGCTTGGTGCAGTTAGTCTTGCGGTAGATGTTGGTTTGGTGTAATTAGTCTTGCGATGGATGATAGTTTAACGCAGTTAGTCCTGCGATGGATGGTAATTTGATAGTTAGTCCTGCGATGGATGGTAATTTGATACAGTTAGTCTTGCAATGGATGGTAGTTTGATACAGTTAGGCTTGCGATAGACAGGGGTGTTTTAGCCGCGAGTCAAACAAGGGATTTGCCTTGGGCGGCATTTTCCAGGGGGCGG